AGGGAGTTGCATTAGATATCAGAAAGGTAGCAGGAGCAAAATGCTTAATAAATAACTGGAGAGCTTAGTTGCCACTCACCCCAAATCCTCGTTTTGGCTGAGAGTTGCACATGTGTCAGGAAAACAGGCAATATTCCCAAGGATTCCTACACAAATTTCCTAGAGAAAGAAAAAATGATAGGTATAAAGTTGAAATGAAAACATTATTCATAGGACTAGTATTATAGGGACATTTATTGATCATTTAAGATTGAAATCTGGCGTGAATGAAAAGCACTTCACTCACTGTAAGACGTGGGCAGCGAGATTTGGCTATGACTCCAAGAAGGATATCAGCCGCTTTGAATTCTTGTAGGAAACCCGCCACGTCCTGCACGCATTAGGGCCGTAAGCAGTAAATATTAAAGCTGGATTATTGTTACATCATGCCTATAAATTCAACAGCTAAATGCACTGTGCGAGAAGATCTGCAATCTCCAGTTTAATTCCACATTTCCTTATGTAAATCTTCTTTAATTTTAATATCCACAATCTTTACAACAGAGCTACATTTTAGGCACAAATGAATTTAGATGTTTACAATTAACTTCATAAATGCATTTAAGCATTTTTTTTTTTAGTTTAATGTGCAGCAGAATATGGTTATTCAAGTACTGCACCTTATCCATGGCCATGTCCCAAACTCTGCACAGATCTTCTTCGTCATCGTCAGAGAGCTGCATCTGATCGTCTGAGTTCTCTTCTGAATGCTCTGTAATCGTCTGGAAAACAACGTGAGTTTGCAGAGATTTAAATATTAGTAGCAGTGAACACAAAATAAAGGATGCTTCAAATAACTTTGAAATGGGTGCAAAAAAAGAGAACTCGAGAGATTTTTGGCTTGGGATGAAGTTTTGCTGCTAAAAAAGAAAAATCCTATTTTGTATATTCCGAATGCAACTTTATATTAGATTATGTTGGCTTTCTATCTGCATGTTTTAAACTTAAGACACGCTAAAAGTTAGTGATTAGGAAACAGGACTTAGCACGGCAGTCCACCTACCTGAATGAGTCGAGTCAGCGTGCTGAAAAGCCAGTGCTTGCTGTAAACGGTGTCTCCGATGGCATCCAGATCTTCTCCCTCGTCTCCATCAGCTTGGTCCGGGGGTGGCGACGGGTTACGATCCATATGAGGAGACTGGGGTCCGGGTGGAGGTGGGGATCTCTCATTTTCTTCCGGCTCAGCACCATCAACGCTGGTGTCTTAAGGAATAAACAGAGACGCTCAATATAAATCGAAGAGCCTTTCAATATGAATGAATCTTGTTAATGAGGACTTTAAAGATCATTGCCGTAGCAGAAAAGCACGAATGTTTAAGGAATATTATATAGACTTTCCTTCAGTATTAAGCTATTATTTTAATGCTAACTTACAAATAAATTAGTTTTTAAAATGTTTATGTGCTAAATAGTAAAACAGATCCACCAAAGTATTCCTACAGTGAATAACTCAATGAAAGTTATTGTATCAGTTTTAGAGCTCTTTTCCTGTTCGTTTTGTTAGAAAAGTATATTGTTAAACCCATAAATATGTTGTCGATGTGAATAATCCAATGTTAGACGCATATAAACCACGTGATTTTAGCTACTTAAGCCTCAGAAACCATTTAGATTAGGTACTAAATAGACATATTTAAGCTAGTTACCGTCGCAAGTCGCTCCTACGGGCAGTAGTTTAACATTAAGTGTCAAATATAAACATGATAGGTTTAAACTTACCCATGGGGACCGTTCTGAGCAAAGAGATCTGGTTATCTAACGTTACATTAAAGTTTTAGAAAATTTTAAATTGCAACACCGCTCAATTTCAAACAGTCTCCATGTATGATGGTCACATTGGCTGCGCATGCGCGACTGATCTTGTTATGGTTGAGAACTTGAATGTAAAACACATATCGCCCCCTGTAGGTAGAAAGCGAAAATGTCAGGTCCTCCTCAGGTCTCACTCAAGTCTTCTTCCTCATTGTGTAAAATGAACTGCTGACCTCTGAATAATGCAAGAAATAACCTAAAATGGCAAGATATAAGAAATTACCAAAACTGAAATGAAAAGTCCAAACATCTAAGTATCATGACACAAACTGTTCAGTCTGTTTGATAGTAACTATAGGAGTTCAGACATATGTCATGTTTCCAACCTCTTTTAATAGAAATGTGTTGTCCAGTGTTCAGTGCTGTGGACGTGAATATCTCTTTTTACTAACTCACTCTGTTTAGTGATTAACAACAAAAACAGCTTTCACATGGTAGTAGAAAGTTTATAAGATGTTCAGAATAAATTTGATAATGTAAGTTGTTCTCACCTCATCCCTCAGTGTCACTCTTTGTGATTTTGTTGAACATGTTTAGTTGACCCAATGTGAAATTGATCTTTAGATTAAGCATTGTGAGTTGCAGCCTGTGTTCACTTCTGGACACAAAGTGGAAGTTCACACTTTGAACAAGGGTTAAGCAAATTATTTGAGCTTTGCAGTAGCAAAACTTTTAGCTTAGGTGATAAGAAGGTATTACCTGAGTTGTTTTAGGGATTATTCAGATGAAACACTTTGGTTATGCATGTGTGGCTTATATTCAGCGTTTGTAGTTAATTCCACTAAAACGTGTCAAATTTTGACCTTCTTTATGCAATTATTGAAGAAAATAAGCCACACTGTACTCCAGTCAATATTTTTACTGAAGTACATGTATTTAGTTCATTTAGACATTAACTGACTGTAGCACCATATGCTTTTACAAGTTCACAGTTTAGCTTTTGTTATTTAATATATCATTGCTCATCTTGATAGACAATAATAAGATAAAATATTTTCCACCAGCTGAAATGAAACCACTGCAGCAGATGTCCACTGTATTGAGTTTTCCGGGCGTCTCAGGCTGTGCTGCATTTTGACGCATGTTGTTTTATGGGAAACGATGACAAGTCCTGGAGGTTAAATGTATTGTCAACAATCATTATACAAATGTTGAAGTACTGCCTGTAATCCACGCTGTCTTGAGATAATTCAGAGTGGGCAACATCCTCCTTCAATCAACAGTAGAGTAATAACTACAGAGCTTTCTCATTTCACAGCTGTCCCACTGTGGGAGTGGTTCAAAGCCCTGTTTGCACTTGGAGGAGCTTAAACCTGGTGACATTTGAGAAAATACCAGCTAGCTTTGTATTTTTTTTAAACCTATAGCCTTCCAACGTGAAAATAACTTAAGTTTAAATTGAAAAGTAGGAAAATTTTAAAGAGAACTTCTGACTTACTCCTATTTATAGCTCAAGGCTGTCACTCTGTAAGCATAGTGCCAATATTCTGCAATTTTGATTTATTTTGCTAATGTTTTACAAATGAAAATGTGTAGATATGAAAAGTTTATTCTTCCATTTCCATTTTTTTCAGACATTTTGTGTGCTTACTTTTGACAGAAATTTAAATAAATATTGTTTATAATATATTTCTGTATTTGTAGTTTTGCTTTTTGGTTTTGTGTTGTTTGTATTGGTTTTCTTTTGGGGGTTTTTTTGTGTGTGCTTTTTCACTTGAAAGAATGGAAAGGTAAAAATGACAAAAAATAAATTACACTTATTCATTCCAATACAACACAACACACAGAAACATGCAGTAAGAGGAAAGAAAACTTTGGAGAGCACGAGGAGGTAAACGAGGAAAGACAAGTTTAGTAAAGTGCAGTGATTACATTGGAATAAGATCAATACTAGAGCTTGTTCTGTCAACATGACTACAGAAAAGGGATTATGGCAATCAAGGATGCAGCTTTGTCATTTCAGAAGTGCATCCTGGGCCATTCTTAGTTCAACGCAATTAAGATAATGAAATGGGTACTGCAACTAGAAGAGAGCAAATATTAACTTTTGATGACGTACGTCTGTGTTATTCAACCATTCATTCTTTCAATCAGATGCACTGAGGCAGATTTTTGTGACTTTTGTCAAAACAATATAAAACACGATTTTGGGGGTTTAACAAAAAAAACAAAAAAAAAAAAACAGGGTGTTAGACTGAACAGAAATGGTTCAGAATCAGGTTTTGTATCACAACTTTTCATTCCATCCCTTTTCACTTCCTGTCAATCCAAGTAAACAAACTATTTATTTTATAACAGTGGCCCTAAACCATTAACATGTCCTGTTGTGAATTGCATAAAGCTTTCAAAAATGTAGGAAATAATCACAAACAATTATTATCTATAAACAATTATTATCTTCTGAGAACTTTGAATTATGTTCTCCATAAATTTAGTTGTCTAATGAAATATGATAGGTGCAGCTCAATTCTCTCCTTCACTGTTTCATCGAATCTTACTTCAAAACTGGAGTCTGATAAATCTCTTTCAAAGTATGCATGTTTGAGTACATACATACTTTCAAAATTTAAAACAATTTTCTATAACTTACTCATTGTTTATCATAAAGAAATGTGGCTACATAATTACAACATCTATTATCATGAGGTCGCTAGGAGGTTTCTTTTTTGATCAGGGGTCATGATCTGTCTTTTTTTTTACAAGTCAACGGGTTAAATTTCTGTTCTGGCCTCAAACTTTTTCATACTAAAAGTTAATTAACTTTAGTGTTAATCACCTTTGAGTGTACCCAATTTAGTATTCCTTCTTAGTTGTGTTTCTGTTGTTATTTCCCTTTGATAGTAATGTATGATACATTTAGAAAAGAAGCAGAAACAAAGAGATTTATCGGACTTCATCTCCGTTTCAAAAAGATTCCTGCATAAAGGGCAATTATATTTGTTCAATAAAGAGATGAGGAGGATATAAGAATAATTTATATTGGACTTTTGAAAGGCGTCAGACAATCGTGCAAATGTTTACCATGACTTGGCAGTAAAACTTCAAGTCCCATTTGGACAGAGGGTGTGAGCAAAGAAATTTTGCTGTCTCCATATAAATGGCAGCCAGGTACGACTGACCATTTCTAGTGCTGGTGACAGCGAGTCCACAGTGGCAACCATGAGGTGGAGATCTGTGTTGTGGAGTTTCCTCGCTTTATCTGTCTTCACTTTCTCTGAGGTCCAAACCACACTGGGTAAGATTCCAACTTTACACACAAAGGAATGATTTTCTTCACGGTGAAGAAAATCACAGTGAAGATTGTCATGGATGTCTTATTGATTTCTTTGTCTCTACTTTCAACTGAGTGTAGAATTTCAAGATGTAACTAGAAATCCTCTTTTAGTTTACAACCATGTCAGCAGCATCTGCAGCACATGGGGCAGAGCTCACTTCAAGACCTTCGATGGGGATGTGTACCAGTTTCCCGGCATGTGTGAATACAACCTGATGTCCGACTGTCACGACTCCTATCAGCTCTTCTCGGTGCACATAAAGAGAGCAGAAAAGGACGGAAACCCAACCATCAGCTACTTGTCAGTCACCGTCAATGAACTTTTGTTTCACATCAGCAAGAGCTGGGTCACTGTCAACTATGAGAAGTGAGTAAAATGAAGAGATAGAGCTGAGAAAAGCACAGATATGTTAGCCTCACAGTAAAAAACAACAACAAATGTCTACTAAATGTTTTTCTTTTACCAGAGTCCCTCTGCCTTACTACAAGGGAGGGGTGCAAGTGGAAAATAATGCTGCTTACATCAAGTTTCAGAGCAAAGTCGGGTTCACTGTCATGTGGAACGGAGAAGATGCTGTGATGGTAAAAACTAACCTTTCAAACAAATGAACTTGGTCTTTTATGATTTACAACAATAATTACTACTTTCTAATGTCTCTTTTGAAAGGCAACTTATTAATTAGGCTAGGTCATTATGAACATTTTACATTCTATTGGTCATTTTTTAGCACATTGATGATCTATTGTATTGTCTTTGCAATGGTATTTCTGGTGTAAAGATTTAATTTAGGACTCTTTCTTGTACATGTTTTAGGTGGAAATTGATACTGACTTTGCAAACCGAACTTGTGGACTTTGTGGAGACTTCAATGGTGTCCCAGTATACAATGAGTTCATTAATTATGGTATGTATAGGGTAATTTAGTCTGAGTTGATTCTTTTAGGTTCTGTGATATGACATTTTGATCTGATCTGATCTGATTTGATCTGATCTGATCGCTCACAGGCCGTAAAATCAGCCCCATTGAGTTTGGAAACAAACACAAAGCCCACCACCCAAATGATGACTGCGAGGACCCGTATGAGGAGGAAGGTGGACTGCTGGAGGTTGAGACTGTCTCAGATTCCTGCAAGGAATATGTGAGTTTACTATTCAGTTAATATATGCATCTTTACAACATTTTAATAAGTACCCAGAAGCTAACTTCACTCCTGTTTTTCTGTTTTTTTTTTTTTCTCTACAGCTCACTTTCTGTGAAAACATGTTTTTGTCAGAGTCCTGGAGCTCATGCACTAAACTGATTAACCATGAAGTTTACATCCAGGCCTGTGTAAAGGACATGTGTGGCTGCAATAACAATACCAATGACTTCTGTGTCTGCAGCACGCTGTCTGAGTTTTCTCGACAGTGTTCCCATGCAGGAGGACAGCCTCCCAACTGGAGGACAGCTCAGTTCTGTGGTAAGAGTTTTATTCTTTCTGTAGCTTTTGGATATGATGTGGCAAGATTCTGTTAACTGGAATTATCAGAGTAAGAAATAAACGTGAAATTTCAGTTAAAACCTTTGTGAAACGAAAAGCACGTTTTCTGCAAAATGTCTTATAAATATGTCATATAAGTTCACTTTTTCCGTAAAAACAGATAAATTAAAACCCTTCTTCGCCTGTCTTAATTCTCACATCTCGTTGTCACAGCCAAAGAATGCCCTTACAACATGGTCTATGAAGAAAGCGGCTCCCCTTGCATGGATACTTGCACACATCAGGACACAAGTTCACTCTGTGAGGACCACAAAATGGACGGATGCTTCTGTCCTTCTGGTTAGTTCATATAACATTTTAGATTAAATGATCCCTCTGGATTTTTTAAATAAAATTCCACTGAAATAAAATAAAAAATGCCTTTCCTCAGGAACGGTGTTTGATGATATTTCTGAGAGAGGCTGTATTCCTCAGTCTGAATGTCAGTGCAAGCGTGACAAAATCTACAACCCTGGAGACGTTTACCGAATAGATCAAGAGGAATGGTATGTCAAGATGCTTAGTCATGTATACAGATTGTGTAAAATAAAGTATTTTATGTTAACTATAAATATATATCTTATTTCAGCACATGCTTTGAGGGAATGTGGGATTGCATCACCCTTGAAACACCGGCTACATGTGCAGTTGAACAAGGTTCATATTTCACTACTTTTGATGGGAAAACTTACACTTTCCATGGGGATTGTTACTACACTCTGGCAAAGGTGGAAAGCAAGGTAAATGAGCAATTTAATAACATGCTTAGTGCAGTAAGATGAGACTTTTCTTGTCTTTTTTTTTTTTAATTAATTGTGACTTCAATGTACATTTTAGGACGGAGTGAGCCCAAACTTTACCCTCCTGGCCCAGCTGGTGCCTTGTGCTTACCAACAGTTTGACACATGCCTGAAGTCCCTTAAAATCCTGCTAAACAATGACAAAAATAACGTGAGTAAAATAACATAACCATTTAATAAGATTAAACTGTGAAAACTTATCTGACTCGTTTTTGTTTCCTCAGGTGCTATCATTCATCTCTGATGGTGGAGTTCAGCAGAACATGCAGACTGTCACTCTGCCGTACCAATCAGGTAGGCAAAAAGTCTGAATTAAACAGTATTCTTCCAGGTTCCATTTAAATTTAAGTCTGATCTTATATTAATCTGTTTATTTTAGGAGACATCAGCATTTTCCACGCCTCATCCTTTCACATCTTGATGCAGACCAGATTCGGGTTGCAGATTCAGATCCAGCATGTCCCTCTCATGCAAGTCTACATCAGCCTGGAGAAAAGCTACACATCAAAGACACGTGGTGAGTTTTGCATTTGTCTCAACAACAAACGTTTGTGTGCTGATTGTTAAGCATCGTCTGCACCTTCCATCACTAGTCAGTGTCTAAAATAACAGCTTGGAGCCGACTACAAAAAGATCACAACTGTGCATTTATTAAACAGAAATTAGAGTCAAATAGAAGACACTGATATTTTTGATTGTGTCAACGTTATCCTCCCCCCCCAAGAAACACTAAAATATACTCTATTCATTTTTATGGACCAACATCTTTTCTTCAGTTTTCAAAATGTTAAAATAAGTGATGTCTTCAGGTTTATGTGGGAACTTCAACATGATCTTGAGTGATGAAATGAAGACTCCTCAGGGGATTGTGGAGGGAACTGCAGCAACCTTCAGTAACTCTTGGAAGGCTAACCTCATGTGCTCAGACATTGAGGAAAGACTTGATGATCCATGTTCCCTCAGTTTGGAAAACGGTAACTAACAATTGTGGAATTTTTTTATTCTTTTGAAAGATATGGTCTGCTCTTAGTTGCTAAGTCTTATGTTTTAAATAATGTAGAGATTCAAATTAAAGCTACTGCTCCCTCCCCCCTCTTCCCTTTAGAGATGTATGCCAAACACTGGTGCGCCTTACTTGTGAGTCCAGACAGTGCTTTTGCCCAGTGCCGATCGGTGGTGGATCCCGAGATGTTTCACAAGGTATGAAAAAAAGTATTTTCACAATTCTACCACATTCAGCAGCTGCTCTTGATCTTCTGCAACTCAACAACAAGCTGGGATAGCTCTAATGCCAAAGTAAACATTAAAACTGCTATTTCTTTTAACAAATAAAGGTTTTTTTTCATGTCTACCTGTGTTTTAAGGATGATCTGTACATTATAGAACTATCCAGTTAGATTTGACATGCCTGAGAATTTTATATTTTGATCAAAAGATAATCAAACACAATCCTGATTCCTCACTAAAAGTAAGGTAACAGTTCACTGAAGTGCTCTATCAGAAGGAGCATATAGTGACTTCATCCCGCCATGGTGTACACTCATATTTTCCTAAGGCACTTACCCTGTTTTAATTTTTGATCGACAATGCAAATGATTAATTTGACATGCAAATAACTGATAGAAAACTTGCTTGAAGTGCCCCAAAGGCTGTGCAACCCTGGGCGAAGAGTCACACTGCTCATTTTCAGTAATCACCACTGGTTATATTTGGCGGAACGATCATTTTTGAGTGTGTTTTCTGTGTCCTGCAGCGATGCATCTACTCCACCTGTAGCTGCGAGAAGAGCGAGGCATGTTTGTGTGCCGTCTTCTCTTCTTATGCTCGAGCTTGTGCAGAAAAGGGAGTTTTCCTGACAAACTGGAGAGATAATGTGTGTGGTAAGAATACCATTTTTTAAGTTGTGAATAATTATTTAAAGTATTATTGCCCTCATTTGTGAGACATGAAACTTCTAAGCAATCGTCTTCTTGAAATCCACAAAACAGATACAGAGACAAAGAGCTGCCCGGCATCTCAGACCTTCTCTTACACACATCAGAGATGCCAGCTGACATGCAGGTCTTTGAGCTCGGAGCAGCAGAGCTGCACCTCGGACTTCTTGCCTGTGGACGGCTGCTCCTGTGCTGAGGGTCTCTACTTGGATGAAAACGGCCTTTGTGTTCCAGTGGAAAAATGTTCCTGCTTCTATAACGGCAATTACATTAAGCCAGGGACATCCATCAACATCAGAGATGAGCACTGGTGATTAAATGAAAACTAAATGTGTGGTATCTGTCAGTTTTTATCATAATATCCTGCATGCACCTTACAGGATTTTTAATGTCTTCTTCTAGTGTGTGCAATAATGGAGTACTTCATTGTCATTCTTGGAGAAGCCGCATGTCATGTTAGTTTGTTTCTACTCTTCTCTCCCTTTCATAGCTCCCTTATTCGGTTGATTGACTATAAAGTAAAAATGATTCTTTTTTTTGTTATAGTGTGTCCTTATCCAAAAGTCTACTTCAACTGTTCCTCTGCAACCGCTGGAGACCTTGGGCTACAGTGTGCTAAAACTTGTTCGAATCTGGAAAGTGATGAATGTGTGAGTAGATGTTATTAAAGCCACTGAGCCTCAGCGAGTTTGTGCAATAATTGTTTCTGTGATATCTGTGGATTGTCTATTTGGATTGTAGTGTTTTTATAGTATGAAAACAAATTTAACAAAAAATGGCAAATGCTTTTTGTTTCAAATTCTTACAATCTTTCTCCCCTCCCAGCTTTTTACAGAGTGTGAGTCTGGCTGTCGGTGTCCGGACGGCCTCCTCGAAGACGGCAAAGGGGACTGTGTGAAAGTAACTGACTGTCCATGCAAGCACAACGGACGTATTTTTGCTCCCGGAGCAGTGATCCCTGACCTGTGCAATACCTGGTAAGCCCATATTTGAAATACAATTATAATTTGTATAATGCATACCTTGTTTCAATGTCAAGTTGTTACAATGTTACTTTGCAGTTTATTTAAAAACTATTCAACAATTTATCAATTTCTTTGAAATCTAGCGATTGTAAAAGTGGAAAATGGCATTGCACTGACAAAAAATGCCCAGCATCTTGTATTATTTATGGAAGTGGGCACTACAACACATTTGATCAAAGGACATATGGATTTCAGGGTGAATGTGGTTACGTCGCTGTCAAGGTAAATGAAATTCAAGACTGTTGGAGATTATTACTCACACACACACTGAATGCTTAATGAAAATTTTTCTTTTTAAGAATAAATGTGGCAACAAAACAGCTGAGAACAACTTTGGAGTTATTACAGAAAATGTTCCCTGTGGCTCTTCGGGAACCACCTGCTCCAAAATTGTCAGAATTCAACTAGGGGTAAGTCCAGACAAAATATTTCTGATCCTAAAGTAGTTGAATATTACATTTCAGAGTTATTTGCAAGAAAGAGGTAATGTTATGTTAACAATAGCTACTGAAACAGAAATCTCTTTTGTGTTCTAGCGAACAGAAATCAAACTAATAAAGGGTAAATATATCGAGGAAGATCTGGGACATGGCAACCTGATTCAGTACAGAATAAGGAGGGTCGGCTTGTACCTGGTGGTAGAATCAAAAATTGGTGTGGCGTTGATATGGGATCGAAAAACAGCTGTTCGCATCCTTCTGGAGCCCCAGCACGCCGTGAGTAACAGTCAATGTTTATTAAGAATGACAGGAATCTTTTACAGATGGATATCAAATTTTCTTTAAAAATGTATTTTGTGACTAATTAGTTGCCTGGTGTGACTGTTTGCACAGGGTTCAGTGTGTGGCTTGTGTGGAAATTTTGATGGCAACGGACTGAACGACTTCACCACCCAGGGTCAGCTGGTGGTGAGCAACCCTCTAGAGTTTGCAAACAGCTGGAAAGTTCAGAGCACTTGCCCAGATAAGGAAGAGATTGTGGATTCTTGTGCAGCTGCACCCATGAGACATCAATGGTCAAAAATGATGTGCAGCATCATAACAGGGAATACATTCAAAGACTGCCACCATAAGGTCTGAATAATTTAGTTCTGTTTTTTGCAATAAAATAGTAAACATATTCCATTTTCTTATATTGGTTTGTTTTATTTTGCAAACAAACAGGTTGATCCCCACACCTTTTATGACAACTGTGTGAAAGACTCGTGCGCCTGCGACACTGGAGGAGATTGTGAGTGTTTCTGCTCAGCTGTCGCAGCCTACGCTCAGGCTTGCACAGAGGCTGGAGTTTGTGTTGCATGGAGAACCCCAGACATCTGCCGTGAGTAAACTATAACACTCTTTGATTAAAATGATGCTTTTGCCTTTGAGGCACCATGTTCATCTCTGCAGAGACTTTGTAGAAGTGGCTTTCAAATTGCTTGTCATCACCATAAAAAAAGCATTCCTTTCTTGGCTACTCACTTTTGAAGTGCTAGCATCTTGGGTTCTTAACCTTATTTTTTAAAATGTAATAATTTCAGCATTATTAGTGTCCTTAGGCTCTTACTCAAAACTTTATCTCTAAAGAGTATATCTATCACAAGACTTTGTTGAATTTTGAAGGAGTTCTTGAATTTTAACGAATGACTGTTATACTCAGGTGAAATGTAAATTATGTTCCCTTACAAAGTGTACTAAAAAGTGGAAATTTGGAGTTTTGTTCAAAACATTTAGATTTATTTTAACAAGAATATTGCATTTGAATCATGCCAAAAGCACAATGATGACTATAAAAAGAGTTACATTTTCTTCACAAATGTTAATGAAATATGAATTGGTTTGTAAGTATGTATTTGAGGCCGTATCTGCGATTTGAACCTAAGTCGATGAAAGAAAACTGGCACACCTAATTCTTGTTTTGTACACACATTAAGTTGTTTTTTGTGCACACAAGAAAGTGAACAAGCTGTAAAACATGTTTTTAATCAAGTATGTGTTTGTAAAATAAAGAAAGCCGGCTGTTGTGTATTAACCCTCCAATAGCCCTAAGAGGGGTCAGGTGGATCCTGCGTGAGATTTTTACCCTATGTGTCATCCCATCAGGGTCACACTATGCCTTTCTTCTCCATTGTCCAACTGTGATACTTGCCTCACTCCTCCTGAGTGACAAGCTATGACTGTGGGAAAGTTGAATCGAAAATCATAATTGAATAATTGGTATAGGTCCTAAGTTGACATCTCGGTACTAGGTTCTATTGCTTCTGCTTCACATGCTGGATGATTAATCTCAGTCTCTCAGGAATATTAAATCAACACTTAACACCTGACTAAAACATGATAATTCCACCAGACAATATGGAAAACAAAAATTCAAGTTTCTATAAAAAGTTGTAAACACTTTTCTTAAAATATTTCAGTTCAAAATTGGTTTAATTAAAAATCTTATTCAAATCAGTCATGATCAAATATTCTTCAATGATTTGTGAATTTTATCTTACACAATAAAATTATAATGTCTTTATCCAGGTAATTTTAAGAAATGTATCCCATGGTGTGTAACATTTCTGAATGTTACTGACATCTGCTATGCTTTCATTTTTAGCTGTTTTTTGTGATTACTATAACAGCCCAGATGAGTGTACATGGCACTACAGTCCTTGCCACACACCTTGTTACAAGAGCTGTTTGAACCCACAAGGGATTTGTAACAACCCGATACCTAATCTGGAGGGTAAGAATGCCATTAATGATCAAATTTTTATTTTAGCATTGTATCTATGTAGTGTACAACATATTTGATGTGCTTTTTACAGGTTGTTATCCAGTATGCCCAGAAGATAAGCCAATTTTTGATGAGAAGAATCAGACATGTGTGGAAGAATGTGCATATTGCTTGTACAATGGGACAATATATGAAGATCATGATGTGATATACAATGTCACTGACAAGATGGGAATGTGCTACTACGCAATCTGCATTAATACAACTGTGATACGCACAAGTGAACCCTGTGCAACAAGCCCACCATCAATTTCCACAACTGAACCTCCAACTCCAGAGCCAACTACAACTACAACTACACCTCCCTCTACAACAACTCCAGAGCCAACTACAACAACTACAACTACACCTCCCACTACAACTCCAGAGACAACTACAACCAAAACAACTGCACCTACCCCTAACCCTCCGACAACTACAAGGACTCCTACAACCACAACTACACCTCTCACTCCAACTCCAGAGCCAACTACAACCACAACAACAACTGTATCTCCCACTACAACAACTCCACAGTCAACTACAACCAAAACAACTACACCTACACCTCCGACAACTACAAAGCCTCCTACAACCACAACTACACCTCTCACTCCAACTCCAGAGCC